GGAGCAGCGGGGCGACTCTCCCCGCTGCGGCGGCTGCCAGCCTTGCCGGGGGCGGCGGTGGCGCGGCGGGCAGGGGCCCGGGGGAGCGCGGCGGGGAGGGACGAGCCCTGTGGCTCCGCGGGGTGAGAGTCAGCTCCAGCCCCTGGAGACTCCCCGCGGCCCTCCGCGGAAAGGCACCGGGCGGGGAAGAGAATGGGAATGGGAATGGGGAAGAGAGGCGGCCCCCGCCTGGAGCCCCCTCGGGGAGGTTTCGCTCTTGGCTGAGTTGGAGTCCCGGCAGGAAGAGACGGGGCCCAGAGGACCTCGGTCCATCCCCTCACCTGCACGGTGCAGCTCGAAGTCACGGTGTCTTCTGCCTCGACATGGCCTGAGGTGATAACGGAAACATTCCTCCTCCCGTTGGCACGCAATTTCTGTCACAGAAGTGGCAGGAACACATGGATGTGAAACCCAGTTTAGAGGGCTCCAGTACACGTGTGCACCAGCAGACTTTATGGTAATAATAAAAACCTGAAACGTTCTAAGAGGGACCAGGTAGTTGAGCTTTTCCATTTGAAGTCTCCATAGCAATGTCCTCAAATTAATATTTTAAGTTCTGCAGAAGGTAGTCACGTTCTGAGTACGGGCTGGATTTGCAGACTAGAAGAGTAGCTGGCTCACAAAATGTCCCAGTTGTTTCCTCCTGTGTTTTGCTTGCATAGTAAAAGTACTATGAAAAATAAATCCATATTCCTTCAGCAGCCCCGGGTTTGTCTGATTGTTTGCCACTTAAATATCTGGACGTAAAACTGTATATGAATGTTACATTATTTACAAGACAGGACTGTAGGGACATTTTTAGTACAGCTGCACTTGATGAGATACTTAGAACCAAGTTCAGTTTTGCACCATAAGGATGTCATTATCATAATCTCTTTGATTTCAGATCTGATTTTCTACCAGATTCATTTTGCATCCTGAACTGGTAGGGCAGTAGGCTGATATGTTCAAGTATGCTTCACAGAGATGAAGCTTCAACTATCATTTGGATACATGCACAACATCCCCTTCCAAGATGTGACTTTCCCTTATTTTCAGTGGGAATTTCTTTTCTATATGGTTTAGAAACTAGACTAGAGTACAACTCAAGCATTAAAGTGATGTGCTAAGCTCTATTCTTCTCCCCCACATCATTTAAAAGTGCATTTTTTTATTATTTTGTATTTAGAGACTAAATCTTTGTAGCGCCTTACATCCCTTAGACACGAGATTTTCTATGTGAGTCAATATAAAATCCATAGCTCCTTTGGTATCCTGAAGTATTAGTTCTGGTTAATGTTATAATGTACTACTGCATAATGATTTTTTATTTTTTTTTTTAAATAGGACTTTCAAATTTCCTGTTCTCAGAACAAACGTAAATAAGTATTAAGCAACAAAAATGCCTCAGCATGATGTGCTGCTGTTCATTGCAATTCCAGGACTAACATGTAAATTAAGCATTTTTCTGTGTTTATGAAAAGAAATTTGATTTCCATTTGATTTCCAGCTGTGAGTATTGAATGTACAGTTAAATAATATATTTTAACTATTACTAAGAAGAAAACGCACAAGTATCTTGCCAAGAAATACATAGTATGATGTATAGATTAAGAGACCTTAAAGCCCCAAAGAATAGCTGCAACAGTATATAGGCTGCTGTACTTTTCGGTATAGTCCATAGAATTTTATCTAGTAAATCTTATAGTTCAGCCATTTAGTTGTGGTTATACAAGAGGGTTTCCCTTGGAAATACATCCAGCTTTCAGTCTGGGTAGTGGGAGTCATGATTACTGTTCGGCTAAATAAAAGCCTGAAGCTTCGTGCAGAAACGAAAGAATTGCTTTGCTAGTTCTGAAATTGACATTGTTCACTTCAGACCAGGTCAGTTCTGGTGTTGGAGAACTACTCAGTTACTCAGAAAGAAAGGTACCACTACTGAGAGCAAGGACCACCGAGCAGGGGTCTTCGTATTTCTACATCTATCTGTAATAGTTTTATGTAAGGCAATTTATACGAAGAAAGATTTTTAAATGCTACATTCTGATTTCATTGTCAAAGACAAGATAAGACTTAAAACCATTCTTTAAAAATGTAATTTTAGGTCACTACTGATTTGTTCTGTAGGCTGATCCCCGGTAATGGTCTGGCTGTTCTGCACTGTCTTGTACTGAAAAGTATCTCACCCTAGAGTGACACTACTCACAAAGTAAAATCCTACTCAATGAAAAAATGGCAGAATGTGACCTTAAATTAATTTGCTGGCCTCTTTCTTGACATGTTCCCTTCACATTGATTTTTAAGGAAAATGTGTGAAGTCTCTGTCTTTAATGCTTCCCTCATCTCTCAAGAAATTCCCAGTATTCAGACCTTTGTGTGTGCAGAGATGTAGAAACAATGATTAAACTCATGCACAGATGTCTGAAAGCAGACAAGAAAATAGAAACCCAAGTTAAAGGCTGTATATCAAAATGAAATAAGCTTGTCAGAAATCAGATTTATTCCCATAAAATCAAAGACACAGATCACTCCTTCTGCCATTGCTGTTGGCAGAGGTAATATCTACAAGGAAATTAAAACAATATTTAAGCTATTTATTAAGACAGGTTGTGCCATTGCTCCAGCTAAAATTACAAGCAAAATGTTTCTATTGACTAGAAACAGGCATAGTTTAAAGCCTGTTGTATGCCGTATCTGTGTGTCAGACAGTTTGTCCATGATGTGTATATGCATCACTGCTTTCTGCTAGGATGTCAGACCTGTAAAGCCTGTGCAGTGATGTTGACCTCTATTACAGGTGCAGCCTACAGAGGATAAATTCTAACGTTCATTTAGCACCAGCCATGTACATGGTAGAAGGAAGGTAAGATTCTTTACATCTTTGCAGATGCTTATTTACTTGAAAAGAGGAGTTTTAAGTGAAAAGTGCGTCAATTGTACGGCAGTAAACTGATTCAGTGTGTTTAATAAAAAAATACCAACCAGTAATATGCAAGCCAACAATTGAGTTTTGGCTTTAGATAAAGTAAAATGCTTCAGTTGATTCTAAATGTTGATTTTAAAGAAAGAACAGAATAATCTCTCAATGGGCATAAATCATAGAATGCCAGGTTGGAAGGGACCTCAAGAATCATCTGGTCCAACCTTAATTGCCAAAAAAATGTTTAGATCTTTTGATTTTGATAAATATGCGTGAAATAGATGTGAAGGCATAGCATCAATACATATTTTTTTACAATGTTAAAAACATGTGTTACATATAAGAGCTTTGTAACATCAGCTTGTTTCATCTCAACAGAAATTTCAGAGTAAGAGCAATGGAGCTTAATACTGAGAAAGCAAGCTTTATTTAACTGTTTAAATTTTCAACAAAGCAGTAAAGTGTCTCTGTATGTCTCTTTATAACAATCCATAGCATCTCTTTAACAACCATAGAAATTATCAGGAAAAATGCAAGGGTATTGCAATTTTCTTCCATCTTCCTTGGGAAGGGATCAGTGGAGACCAATCAGGTGATACAGATCCATGGTTAAAGAAAACCAACATTTTTATTTAGATTTTGCAAGATTGCTGTCTTTGTATTTACTAATCTTAGGCCATGTTTGAAAAAAAGGTTTAAAGTAGACTCATACCTTAATGATTTTTTTAATACCTTGTTTAGTGTCCAAAATATTGACCGTCTATTTCATAGGGAAGGTTTTGCTACTGGTTTGCATTCAGCAGAAAATTATTGCATTTGTGACAAAGAAAGAGGAAGGAAGGAAGGAAGAGAGACCGAGTGTGTAGGTGCATGCTAATTTCATTGTCAAATTATAATTTACAGAGTGAGTTCATACCTTCAATAGCAGAAATCATATTTGAGTCTAAATGGCAGAGAAATGCCTGTATCTGAAACTATGGGATCAGGAACTTAGTTCTCACCCAGTATTTAAGTAAAAGTATTTATTTACAGAGTACTGAAAAAAATGCATAGATTTTGATACATGTTCATGCAACAGGGTTTTTTTCCAAGGTCAGTAACAGTGAGGTCCTTAAGAATATCCACAATGCTCTTAATGCATAGTCAAAATATATTTAGAAGGAAGCTGTTGACCATGCAGTGACCAAAGCTAAGTCATATTGCTTTATTTCATTATATCGTTTATGTGCCAGGCGCTCTCACCAATGAGTGCTTTTGTTGGTTATTGCAAACCTATAGCTGTGGTGTG